GGGGGGGGTGGTGCGTCATGGGATCTGTTACATCTATCCAAGACCAACAGAGCAAGTCACAGTTTGAAGGATGGAATCTCTGACAATGCAGTGCTCTCTACTGAGCCTAAATTTCCATTTTCAGTGCTTTGGCAACTGACCCACAGCTGGCATCAGTAAGTCTGGATCAGGAAATCAAATACTTCTCGCTACTAAAGCCAGAAATGAGAGTATTCTTGATCTACTGCTGGAGGCTAAATCTGCTGTAAGTCAGCCAAGTTCTTCCACCATTCTAAACCTGCAACTTCTGCCACCCAGAAGGGCAGCAGATGCATAGAAACACCATCACTTGCCTCCAATCCACACGCCATTCTGACTTGGAATAGTACCACTTACCCTCGCTGTAACTGGGCCAAAACTCTGGAGCTCCCAGTGGTGTATCAGCAGCACAAGACTGCAGCAGTTTAAGGAATGAAGGTTCCCCACTACCTTCTCAAGGGCAATAGGATTGATCAACCAGTGATGCCCACATGTCATAAATGGATTTCTTCCCCCCACCCCCCTCCAAGGAAGTGCACAACTGCAATATCCTTAACACTGCCTCCAGGGTCGATGAATGGTTAAACATACAGTTCTCCCGAGAGATGAGTGGATAAAGTGCGCCAGGCCAGAAGCCGCACAGACAGCAAAGATCCACAGTCGATTCCCAAGTGAATTAAGTTATTGCAGCTGGCAACGATAAGGGTAGAACAATCGGATCCAGCAAAAGCTGGGAAGGGAAGGAGGTATAAGAGGAAAGAGGAATAATAAATCAGCCGGGGTCTGGTATCTATTCAGTAACTCTTCCTGGGGAATAAGCGTGTAAGCTGTCAAAAAGCCAGATTAAGCAGCGATGCCCGAAGCAGACCAACAACCACTATCTTAAGGAAGACTGCATTTATAAAGCGCCTCTCACAGCCTCAGGATGTCCTAATTGCTTCACAGCCAACGAATAGCTTCCAAAGTGCAGTTGTTGCTGTAGTGTTGGAAATCAAATTTTTGCATCTTGAGCACCCTCCCCCTCTCCCCACCATACAGCAGTGAGGCAGGTGATAGTCAACATATCCATTTCTGGTGATGACCTTTTGAGAGGAGAATCTCCTCATTTTTGCATTAGTGTATGGGATCCCTTCTGTCCACCCAAGACAGCAACAGGGCCACAGTCTGATGTAATTTCAGTGTGTGCGTGTGCTCGAGCCTCTGTCGTTGTATCTGTGTGCCCGCACGTCCCTGTGCCCGCGTGTCAGTGTTTGTTGGAAAAAGAGAGAGAGAGAGTGGGAAGAAAACAAAGAAACAAAAAGGACTGAACCACATACAAGTGTGGGGGTTGCAATCCAGAAACAGATCTTAGTGTCGAGCAGGTTCATACAAGGTCACAGAGAGAGAACAGAAGTAAGTATCGCTGCCTAGAAAAGAAAGGTCACATCAGTAAAACATTAAAAACAGGCTGAATGTTGTGAGGTGAAATGAATAAAATCACAAATCAATGCCTCATGTTAGAATTGTTAGCAATCACTCAAGCATTCATCAGTTAGCCTCATTGGAAGCTGTGTGTATTTGTCTCTACCTTGTTTTTCTTTCCGAAAGGCCAGCGCTTGGTCTTGCTTTTGCCAATGGTCCTATGGTCAGCCTTAGATTCCGATTTCAGAGAACCAATACTGTTTTCTGATGAAGTCCGATTAATCATCTGGCTGTAGTCCTCAAACTCTAGGTCCCCCGGTCTCTCAAATCCTGACTTATGTGCCTCAATCAGCACCTGTGAATCCTGATTAAAGATGAGAGGAAATTTTATTTTAAAAAAAAAATACCAGGCACGCAGCCAGGAACAACAAGATTAAAAGGTGTGGTATATGAGCAAGTTATTCCTTGGCACCTTTAATGAAGGTGCACTTTGGGATTGTATTCTACAAACTGACCGTCTGCGATGAAACCAGATTCAGTATTTGGTTCGGACTCGGAAACCCAAGGAAAGCGCTCCCTGTTCTGCCGCAAATTGAGTTGATTTTTCAAACAAAGACTGGCACTTCCACTTGACCTATCAGGATGACCCCAAATTCTTCAGAACCAAGTAAGTATTTTTGAAGTATACTTAGCGTTTGAAATGCAGTAGCCAATTGTGCACAGTAAGATCCCTCAGCCAATCATTGATCATCATCGAATTTCTACAGTTCAAATAAAGGCCACTTGGCCCATCGAGTCGGCACCGACCCTCTGAAAAGCATCCCACCCTATCCCCGTCATGCCACATTTACCGTAGTTAACCCACTTAGCCTGCACATCTAGCCGGAACACTATGGGGCAATGTAGCATGGCCAATCCATCTAACCTGCACATCTTCAGACTGTGGGAGGAAACCGGAGCACCCGGAGGAAACCCACGCAGACATGGGGAGAACGTGCAAACTCCACACAGACAGTTGCCTGAGGCTAGAACTGAACCTTGGTCCCTGGCGTGGTGAAATAGCAGTGCTAACCACTGAGCCACCATGCTGTCTAAGTGACCAGATATTCTGTTTTAATGACGCTGGTTGGCCAAGACCCCTGGCAGAATCCCCCTTCTGCTCTTCAAAACAGTTCCACGCCACCTTAGACAATTACCCGAGAGGGCAGACACAGCATAACGTTAATATCACACCCAGAAGGGAGTAGCCTCTGACAATGCAGCATTCCCTCAATACTGCACACAAGACAAGATGCTACGGGAGGATTCTGTCCTCAAATCTCTGAAGGGGGACCTGAACCCACAACCTTCTAACCATGGGGTGTGAGAGTTGCTCACTGAGCCGCGGCCAAACAATCTGAATGGTCGACGGTTCTCGCATACCCCGCTCTCGTTTACGGATTCCGCAGCTTTTGTCATCCCGTCCAGACACTTCCCAATGATCGGCATGACCTGGCGCTCTGTGTCTGCAAACATCTTGTACGCTTCACATAGCTTCTGTATCCGCTTTTCATCCATCTCCTGAAGTTTCTGTGAAAACACACGCAGCAACTTTATCAGTAAAGAGCGGGTCTCAGGAAGAAACCGAAGGGCAAAGGGGAAATTGTAATGGCTTCCCACCACTCACAAGGCAACATCTATCGATGCCACATTGGTGAAATCAATGCTTTCCAAAACCGATTGCCAAGGTTCTAACCTGGATTATCAACTCCAGTTGGACATATTCCTGGACATTTCATCAAATCAGCTTCTTCCTTCAGCCAGCCCACACTCTCACTCCTGCCACTGACCACACAACATTCTTGCATTGTAAGGGTGTGAAAGGTTTCAGGAGTAGGTGGAAATGCAGACCACGCCAGACCTTACTGAATGGTGGACCAGGTTCATGGGGCTGAATGGCCTACTGTGCATGTGTTCCCATATGAAACTTTTTCATCCTCAACTAACAGCACCTTTCTAGGCAAGTGAATAGATTGGATTTATCGGATTACCTGTTGCTTGATTTTTGACTGCCAGTCATACAGCCTCGCTCCATGGGCCAAATATGTTATATAGCTAATAATCAAATTGATTTTCTTCAATTTTAAAAGAAAGGTACAATGTTTTATTGCCTCTCGTGATTTTTTATTGCCGTGTCCTCATGGGTTCATTTCTAATTCTCCAGAGAAACACCTGTGTGACCCAGAGTGATGGAAATGCTCGGTAGCAAAAGAGAGTTTGCAGGAACAGGAAGGAGTTTAATATCTAATCTGGTGTGGAAATCACCCACCTACAAATAAAACACTCAAACATACTTAACTCGCTCAAGTTCGTCCCTCTGAGAGGCTAAATCACACAAAGCCGGCTGCGTTCTAAATATCCTGAACAACTTTTGTTTAACCTCATCCAACTTTCTCCCAAATGTCGCTGACACAAATACTTCTTGAAAAACTACTTACAGCTAAATTTACCTCGCCTAGTTTTGATGCTCCCAAGTGCCAAATTCCTCTAACTTACGTTGAAAACATGTGGCATCTCGACAAAATAAAACTGATTCTGGTCTTTGTTGTATTTCTGGAGTTGAGAGGCGTACTCATTCTTACTTTCTTCCACCATGTGATTTCGCAGATTCGCCTGCTGTTTTGCCTGAGGTACAAACAAATAAACACAATTTATACTTTGACAGTGAAGGGCACGTTGCATCAATCCATTTATGTTCAAAATTCAAAAAGTGGGAAGGAATGTGGACTAAACCTCCCTGCCAACAGTAATTTTGCCATCTCTCCTTCGTTATTGAATGCAGGATCAAAATCTATTGATAGGAATTCTATATCAAAAAAATAAAAAGTGTGCATCGAAAAATTGGATTTGTTTTCACACTTCCTGCTATTCCACTTTGGTTGGGCCCCAGGCAGGTAATGGTTACAGGAGTATTTATTGTTGACAAACATCATCTTTTATTTGAACGTATTAAATACCAACTACGTACAACACAAGACCGATACAGAACCAGACAAAACCATCTCTGAGGAGTCGTGTTGCCTCCTGATCATGTAGATTATCCTATTTACATACCCCCATTAACTCTTTAGACTACAGACAAACAACGTTTTGAACGGAATTAGAAAGCAGAGATCAGAAAGCACACTGTAGATGCTGGAAAGCTAAACTAGGAACAAAAAATAATGTGTAGGTCAGCAGGTCAGGCAGCATTTGCAGAAGGTAGTAAAAAAGTTAATGTTTCAGCTCGATGACCTATCACCAGAACTTGGAAAAAAATTAGAGATGTAATAAGTTTTGAGTAAGAGGCAAGGACAGAAGGAAAGTCTGTCATAGGGTGGAAGACAGGAAAGAATCAGTGATAGATAATTTAGCCTTCCAGGGCCAAAGAGAACAGGGATGAGGCAAGAAAAGAAACAACAATTTGTGCCAGGAACAAGTGTGCTGTTAACTGAAAACGAAAATAGGACAGAAACCAAAACATAGAACAGTACAGTACAGCACAGTATAGGCCCTTTGGCCCACAATGGTGTGCTGACCTATTATCCTACTCAAGATCAAACCACCCTGCATACCCTACATTTTACTGTCATCCATGTGTCTATCCAAGAGTCGCTTAAATGTTCCTAATCACCGCCGGCAGCGCATTCCACACGCCCACCACTCTCTGTGTAAAGAACCTACCTCTGACATTCCCCCTACATCTTCCTCCAATCACTTTAAAATTAAAACACGCGAAGGAAACAAAATAGAGGGACAGGGTTTACAGTCTGAAATGGCTGAGCTCTATGGTGAGTGCAGGAGGTTTTGAAGTACCTAAATGAAAGGTCATGCGCTGTTAGAACCTGTGCACTTTGCATTGGTTCCAGCACACCCATATTCAGAGAGGCCAAAAAACAGTGTAAAGATTGCATGATGCTGCTTCACTGGTGTGAGTTCATCTAAGCCAGTGCAGCATTCCCAAAACAAGCCTTTGTGCCTGCACTGCCTCAATTCAATGACAAATTAGGGAAACCCTGACAAGCTGTGGAACTCCTGGCCAGCAGACAGTGGGAGGTTTAAGAGGGAAATGAACACGGAGGGCTGGACTGAACGCCAAGTCTACCTTTTCCACATCAGCTTTGGTGGCGTTGATGTCATTGTCGACTCTTTCGGCATTCTGCATTGCCTTCTCTGCTTCCTTGCAGTCTCGTTCAAACCTCTTCTTTGCCTGTGGGGACACAGAACATCAAATTTGAATGGACTGCAACTCCAGCTGGATGGTTTGGGAAGCCTCAGTGCCATGGGGGGCTACACCCATCCGCGAAAGAGATCTGAAGACCACCATGGCAGATGGTGAAACTGAAATTCAAGAACAGAATCTGGAATGGCAAACACTGTAATGGTGACTACACAATCCTTGTCAATGTGTTAGAAAAACCCATCTGGGTCATAAAAGTCCACTAGGGAAGGAAATCTGCCATCCTTACATGGTCTGGTCTACATATGCCCCCACACTCCAGCAATACAGTGACTTAACTACCCTTTCAAATGGCATAGCAAGCCACTCAGTTGTGTAAAAATCGCTAAAAAGTCTCAAAGAAAAATACACCAGATGGGCCACCTGGCATCGATCTTGGCACTGGAAATGGCAATGGCAAACTCAGCCCTATTTGCCCTGTAAAGTCCTTCTTACCAACATCTGGGGGGCTTAACACAAAATCCCACCTTCACAATGAGGATACCCACTATCATATGGTGTGACATCACCAATGTACAAATGGAATTGATTTTGAATAGATCTAGCAACTCAAAAAGGAGCATCTGAGAGGCGCTTTGGACCACCAGCAGTATCATAGAATCCCTACAGTGTGGAAATAGGCCCTTTGGCCCAACAAGTCCACACCGATCCTCAGAGCATCCCACCCAGACCCATTCCCCTATAACCCACCTAATCTCCACCTCCCTGAACACTATTGGCAATTTAGCACGGCCAATCCACCTAGCCTGCACATCTTTGGACTGTGGGAGGAAACCAGAGCGCCCGGAGGAAACCCACGCAGACACGGGGAGAACATGCAAACTCCACACAGCCAGTTGCTCAAAGGTGGAATCGAACGCAGATCCCTGGCGCTGTGAGGCAGCAGCGCTAACCACTGAGCCACTGTGCCATTTTCAGTCACAACCTGAACATACCTCCCACTGTACCTTTACCAGCCAAGCCAGGAAGTCAATACTGATTCCATGAAGAATACAGGAGGGAATGCCAGGAGCAAACATAGGCATACTTATAAATAAGGCCTCAATCGAGTGTCTACAACACAGGGCGACTTATATGCCAAACAGTGGAAGCAGCATGCAGCAAAAGCAGGGCTGTCTGATCCCACAATCAACAGATCAGACAAACCCTGCAGTCTTGCTGCATCCAGTTGTGAAAGGTGATGGACAGTTATGCAACTAACAGGTGGTGGAAGACCCTCAAATATCCCCGATATTTGTGTGTGTCGGGGGCGGGGGGCGGGGAGGTGGTGGTGGTGGTGGGGGGGGACACATCAGTGCAAAAGGCAGGACTGCTGTTTTTGCATCCATCCAAAGCCAGAACTGCTGTGTGGATGATCCACCCAGCCTCCCGCTAAAGTCCCCGAGCACCACGAATGCCAGTTTTCAGCCAATCCAAGCTCCTAGCCAAATTCTTCCAAGACAGGCATGGCCCACTAGCATCCACAGTACAATGTGGAAGACTGCCCAGTGTTATTCCTGCGCGCATAAAGCAGGACTAATTCAAGCCCACCAAATACTGGCCAATCAGTCCACATGCGATCGTCAGCAAAACAGTGGGTGAGGCCATCGATGGTACTGTCAAGCAACAACTGCAAAGGAATAATCTGCTCATTGACACCGAGTTTGGGTTCCACCCAGGGGCACTCAGGTCTTAGCTTCATCACAGTCTTGCTCCAAACATGGATGACCTCCAGAGGTGAGGTGAGAGGGACTGCTCTTGACATCGAAGCAGCATTTGTCTGAGTGTGGTATCTAGGAGCCTTGACAAAACCCAAATTTATGCGAATCAGCAGGAAACTCTCTGCTGGTTAGAGTCATACCTAGCACAAAGGGAGGTGGTTGTGTGGTTGCTGGAGGTCAATGAATAAAACAAAAATCAAAATCATGGTGAGCAAATGCATCTTGTCGCTAATGGAAATCTTTTTTTTTAACTTCATTCAGTTAACTTACATAATCCAGCTGTTTAAAACTAGCTTCCAGGTTCTGTTGAGCTTTTCTTCCTTCCAGAAGATGCTGAAAAAGCAAGGACTCCATTACCAAATAGACACTGCCACGTCCAACCGTTAGAAACAGGAGAAGAGAAAGGGCCTTCAGATCATTGAGGCTGCTTTGCCATTCAATTGGATCATGGCTGATCTGATCATGATTTCAGTTTCACTTTCCTGCCTGCTCCTCAATCTGGATCAAAGATTTGTCTAAAACCTGGCTGTGACTATATTCCATTATCCTGCCTCCAATGTGCGCTGAGTGAGAGATTTCCAAAGATTAACAACCCTCAGAGATAAAATTCCTCCTCACTTCCATCTTAAAATGAAAGATCCTTTTTTTGAAGACTGCAAACACTATTTCTAGATTCTCCCATAAGGAGAAACCCACACTTAGCATCGACACAATCAAGTCGCCTTAAAACCTGGTGTATTTCACATTTTTCTAGATACTAATGATTGTACGTCTACACTGCTCACGCTTTCCTCATCAAATATCCATTTTATCCCAGGGATCAACACTGTGAACCTTCTTGGAAAAGTCTCAGTGCAACCATCTTGCTCCTTAAATAAGGAGACAAAATCTCCATGGTGTGTGGTCTCACACATGCTCTGTGCAGTTCCCTCTACAATAAAAGCCAACATCCCATTGGTCTACCTAAGTATTTGCTGTACTACATTCTAACATTTTGTGATTCATTTACCAGGACAGCCAGATCTCTCTATCCTACAACATTCTATAGTCTCTCTCCATTTGAATAATATTCTGTTCCTCTAACCATTTTGCCAAAGTCACATTTCCACACATAAGACTCCATCTGCCAGATTTTACCCATCACACATTCTCCCTTTCTCATTTGTAGACTCTATGTGCTCCTCACAACTTGTTTACCTACATATTTCGATATTGCCAGCAAATATTCAATACAGTTCATCCCTTCATCCAAATAATTAACACAGCATTGGGCCCTGTGACAGTCCACTAGTTACAGTTTAAACTGAAAATGATAGCTATCCAGAAATTGTTTCGTGTTGGTTAGCCAACCCTCTCTCCATGCTAATGTACTACCTTTAACACAGTGAGCTTTTTAATCTTGTACAGCAACATTTTATGTGACACCAGATCAAATGCATGTTGGAAATCCAAAAACTCGACATCTCCCAACTCTCCTTTATCCACCTGGTTTGTTACATCCTCAACTAATAATAAATTTATTAAAGACTTCTCTCAGAGGAAGAAATTAATGACGCTCGAGTGTGGTGGATACCTGGACACTGAATAAATTCAAGGAGGAGACAGACAGTTTGTTAATTAGTGAATGGGTTGAAGGGTTATCGAGTGGAGGCATGGAAGTGGAGTTCAGGTCAAGATGAGATCAGCCATGATCATATTAAATAGCGAGGCAGACTTCAGGGGCTGAATTGCCTACTCCAAGCTCCTATTTTCCTATCCCTTTCTTTTTTTGATTAGGGGCAATACATTTGTGGTTTCTCATCTACAGGGACCTTTCCAGAATCTGGTGAATTTTGAAGGATTACAGCCAGTGCATGCACCATTTCTACAGCAGCGTTGTTTAATATTCTGGATTCACACAATCAGGACTTTGCAACTTCTGGTCACATTCATCTTCACACAATGTTTTTCTAAAGTTATGGACCCAGGTACCTCAATCTGAATATGAAATCCTCTTATGTTGTGACTACTCTTCCTTAAAGGTTCTTTCACTATGGCAGCATTAATGAATCCTTAAACATATTACTAAAAAGACTTTCTGAATATATTATGAAAACTACCACAGCGGAAATCAATTTGGAAACATGAGGAATGGGAATGGATGAACAGAGTAGCATTGTGCCATACCATCTTGCGTTCCTGCTTATTTTCGTGTAGATATTTCAACAATTGGGCAAAGATGTTCTGTACCAAGTTCTCTGCGATAATTTCCCTCTGTCCAGCATAGTCATTCAATTCATTGAGAATGTTGATGAAGGCCTGATACTGGGAGAACCTGCAGGCAAGGAGCAATATTTAAGACAAATTCAATTGAAATGTTTCCCTTTGGATAATTTTCCCACCTTCTCCCAGTACAGACCCCTGCGTAGGTCCTACCTCAAAACATCTCTCCAATATCTCACTCCAGTAGTCACACAGTATTAGGAGGCAACACAGCCTGACCTGACCCGATGCAACAACAGAAGCAGGGATATAATCAAGGAAGGAAATCTCAAGGTTACTTTAACCAACGCCCTACATCAGGACACTGCACCCAGATTGCATTTTTCTGCCAACACCCAAGAGAACCAAGTGTAGACTGTTTCTAGATTATATGGATCAAAATGTCCCCATTCGCTGCCTTTTACTCACTGGTCATAGTTTTTGAAGAGTTCTGCCGCTACTCTCCAACAATGAGGAATACAAGATCAAATAGAGCCTTGTTCATTGCGGGGGCTGTTTAACCGCAATACTTTCTGTAATTATCCCCAGCCGGCACTGCATGAGTGGTAGGCTCAACCTTCCTGCTGTAGGTCTCCCAATCAGGACTGCGTCGCAGTGAGGAGGTGCAGGGCTCTGAATGGGAAATGGCTAAAGGGAAAGGGTCAAAGGATCTCTCCTACGGCCTTCCTAGGCCTTAGGCTCTTTGACCAAATTCTTTTCCCTTCATTTCAGATGCACTTGTTCTAAGGAAGAAGAGGTTACAACCTCGCACAAACCAACCAAGGCACTGACTGGCCCCATGTTGGTTCCAATTCCATCTGACTACCAAGTCGTCGCCAGGAGCTTCCTTGTCAGAGCGTGGAGGATGCTCACTTGGATTCTTCATCCGCTAAATGCAAGCAGTCTGCTGGAATGAATAAGTATAACACCACACCAACTGCAGGCCCACTTCATCGCTCCAGTGAGCTGGGGAAATGGCGTGCAAGGCAACCATGGTGCCTCTTGTGAGGAGACTGGAAAACCATTCACCAGAACGCACCTCCATCCATCTCCTTTGATGCCTGCAGTAATAAAGAACACATTCGCCTGCTGTTTGCCAGGAGTGGAGTGTCTTGGTTGTGGTGTGTCATTGGAGCATTCCCGAAGTTTGAGGAATGCCCTTCCCAGCCACAGCTCAAGGGGAATTGAGAATCTGGGATTTAGAATTCAAAGGCCACCAATTAAAGTTTGTGTTTATCGTTGGGATGGACTCTAATTTTCCCCAGCACTTCAATGGTTAAGTGTTCGACAGATTTTCTCTCCCTGGCCACATCTTGCAACTTAAGGAAGACAAGAAACCACTTGCTGATCTTCACTCTCTGTAGAACAGACAACTCAGTGACAACTGACCACTGAGTTTTGAAAGCTAGCAAAACACAACTTCATTATCGCAGAGTGAAGAAAGGATCTGGCTCCAGTCCCAGAAATGATATCACAGAGTTTTTGTAGTCACCTGGTGATTCCTGAAGGACCAGTTATTAGTACATAGCAGCTCCCCCAGCATCCCCCCCAGCATCCCAACAGCGAATACATGTAAGCACGCAGACACACATACACATCGGTATGTAGGGCCAAGGACAGAAATCACATGCTCCTGACCTGACCCAAATACAATGCTAAATCCCTGAGGCCCTTTTATTGGGCCCTGATGTACCCCCTGCTCAGCTCCCCTGTTCTGAGCCCTGCTTGCATGTATACATACATTCATGATGCACACATACTCTCGCTCACACACACACAGACGCACACATACACACTCACTCTCTCTCTCCCTCACACAGAGACGCACACACACTCTCTCTCACAAAGAGACGCACACACACTCTCGCTCTCTCTCACACACAGACGCACACA